GTCCCCAGAGAGCCTCTCCCTGCCGTGCGGGCACGGAGCGCGGGGCGCGCGCGGAACCACCTTGCGAGTGGCGTGCAAGGTCACACCGCCTCGCCAACGTTTTGGTTCCTTCTTACCCTGCACTCTTTTCCCAAGAGGTGTGCTGTAATTTTAGGGCGGCTGATTGTCCGTTTGGGGAGACACTTTGGTAGTGGTGAGTGTTGGGTTTCGCTCCTGGATTCTGTGTTTTGGTTTGATAATGTAAAATGAGGGGAACTCGTGTCCCCTTGATGTTGCAACTATCCATCCTTCTAATAATAGCTTAGAAGGGACAGAGGCACTTGTACCAAACTCCTCATTTCACTTGATACTTCCTTGGAAATCTTACTCAACTTAGTGTTTTCTTTATCAGTGAAGGTAATAAACTGTTGTGTCTTTTTGCCACAGTAACAGCTGTTTTAACCATACTTACCTCAGTCACTCTTGGGTGGAGAGGGAACATGCAGCTGTAGGCAGTAACTAGCTGATTTTTACCCACAAACCACCCAAGTGTGAGACCATGAGAGCAATGATGGCAAAAAGTATGTAAAATGGGTTAGTGATTTCTAATTTGGGCAGAATAGAATCTGCTGCTTCTCATGCTCATAAAAGTGATGAGTTTCTCTAGCATTTCTTTTTAGTCAGTGTACTGGTAAATAAAATTTATGGTGCTTCCTTGTTGCTTTTGGTTTCCTTGTGCTTCAGGCTGTGGTGTAGTAATAGAACTGAACTGCTTAACCTTGAGGTTTTTATCAAAGAAACCATCCTACTAGACAAAAGCTGTAGAAAATATATGAAACAGTTCTCTGAAATGAACATTTGGGAAACAAGTAATACTATTGCCTGGAAATAAATATGTAGTGTCTCTAAGCTTTCACTAATGGGAAAAACTCCAAAGTCTTGGCAACTTTCTTTCTGTTTTGAGGCCTAACAGTAAGAGCAGTGAGAAGAAGAGTCACCTAGTTCTTTTGGTAATCATGGACACAGGAGTTGAAGCAACTGATGTGGAAAAAAAACCAACAAATTCCCATGCAGCAGCAATGTCTTAGTTGCTATTAGCAAATTAACTGTATTTTGTGGATTTTTAGCAAAGTGTTGAGTAGGAAAGTGGAGAGTTTGTGCAACAGAGTGAGAGAGAGTGGGAAGTGTCTTTCAGGCAAAGTTTGGTTTCAAAGGTTAGAAGTAAATGACAGTGCACATATATGTGTTTATCTGTATATATGTGGAAGACACACTGGACAGTGAAAAGTGAATATAATGAGAGAAGTTTTGATAAAAATAGAAACACAGAAACAGGAGATTTCTAAGTAAAGATAGGGATGGGATTGGAAAACTGTAGGAGTGAATGAGGAGACACTGTTAGAAGCAAACAAAGGCCAACTTGTGTTGGTAGAGCTGCCAGTACGGAATGGCCAGGGGACCTACGTCAGCAAACTGATTGTGCTTGTGTCTTGCCTAAGGATCACCAGACTGATGAACTGTGGAAACACCTCAGGTTTGATGACTGTGCCAGCCCTTAGGGACATTCTTTCATGTTATGTGTATATTTTTTAGTTTATACTGGAAGAAATATCCATTGTAACACCTTGTTAAAAACATACCTAAGGAGAACTCCTTTAATACACACCAGTACTGGACTTGTTCCATGCTAGTATACACTGTTTTTAAAGTGTACCAACTGTAAGATAACTTGGTGGGTTATTTTTTTCCTAGTGTTGACCAAAAGAGGCAAGTACCTTGCACTGTTGGCCTGTTTTATCTGTCATTGCTAAATTGGTCAGATAATGATGGTTATCTTTTGTAGGACATTTCTTTAATCTTTGCAAAGACTAATTTGAAATCTTTTGGCTAGAAATTAAGTCAGGATCTTTGAATACAAATAGCAAATGAACATCAGGTAAAGGAAATATTTAAGTAATGTAAAACTTTTTAGGGACAATTTACTAATTATTTAATGTTTCACAGCTCATTTCTGTGTTTTTTTTACTTATGTGGTTCATTAGGTCCTGTCTGTGGCTGATGAGTTTCATAGGGATCTGCTGACAAATGCTACTTGTAAATTAAAGTCAATGGAAGTTTTTTTAATGAAAAAACTTAGGTAGTTTGACAGATAAATCCTTAAGAGCTGAAATAATGTCAAAGCCACAAAGCTTGAATCTGTTTCCCAATGAAACAGCTTTTTTTTTTTATGTTTCTAACTACAAATTTAAGAGCTGAAATAATATCAAAGCCACAAAGCTTGAATCTGTTTCCCAATGAAACAGCTTTTTTTTTGTATGTTTCTAACTACAAATCTAAGAGCTGAAATAATATCACAGTCACAGAGCTTGAATCTTTTTCCCAATGAAACAGCTTTTTTTTTTGCATGTTTCTAACTACAAATTGAATAGCAATGATGAAGAAAAATAAAGTTGTCTCAGTAGGATTCTGCTTTGGGATTTCATTTTGTGGTTTTTAATAAGATTTCAAAAAACTTTCATTCACATTTTACTGTAAGTTAACTTGTCCTTTGATCATAGTATAAAGGAAAGTGATGACATGGCACAAATTAGCAGTGCTTCTTCCTAGTGTCTTTGCAGAGGACTTTGGCAAGCAGTAAATAGAGGGGTAATCATGACTAACTGGAAAAGATTCCTGTGTGCTTTTATGATGGTGAAAACATTTTAGATGTTGGGAGGATGCTCAGATTAGGGGAGAAAGAAGTGCTAACCTGAGAGTAAAGAAAAGTACCATAAAATATACAAATGGCTTATGTGAAGTGAATGATGGAATGGTCACTTGGTAAAATTGTTTGTGCTGGTCATTGGTCATTAAAACTGTTCTTCCACTATGCACATACAACCCCCATCCCACTCCCATCCTGGATGACAGTGAAATTTAGTGTATGAAGAACAGGTTGTTTCTGTAAGTCCCTTGAAGGGAAGGAGGGGAGGGAAGAAAGCAAGAGGTAAGGGTAAGTCATCTTGAACCCCACTGAGTTAAGTGAGGAGGAACAGTGGTATAAATGTAAGGGTGTGCTAGTTCAGGCGTGCCACAAATGGGAGAGTTAACACAGAGGTAGTGCTCTTGGCATATATGAGCAGAGGGATTTTTAGAGGGAAGACACACCTAGAACTGCACCCTGATTTTTTAGAAGGTATAGCAGAACGTGAAACACAAGCCAGAAAATCTCTGGTGTGTCATTTCATTGGCTTCAGATTGGACTCAAGGAGTAAAATAAAAATCATGTTCCAAAACCACCTTGGGATTATTTTTTATTTAGGTAAAATTTATACCATAGTTTGCATGGCAATATTGCTTTTTTTTTTTTACAGCCTATTAATATCCAACTCCATGTGATTTGGACTCCAAGCTCCTATAAAGTCATACAAGGAAGATTAGGGCATTTTCAACTGATATTTTTAAATCTTAAAACCAAAATGTAAATGTACTGTTCTAGTGCTTTAATGAACAGCTTGTTAAGTTGGTATACAACACCAAAAAAACAGTGAGATGTTAGTTTCTTTAAAGTAAATTTGTCAGCAGTTGTGACTAGCGAGTCAGCCCATTGTTTTCATCATCAGGTAATAGTTATAGCTTTCATAAATCAGTTCTAAATGAACTGTATGAAACTCCTGTTTGATGTAACTCCAGTTAAAAAAATTAATCTAGAGCATCACTCCCATCTCTGAAGTGATGTGCAAGCTGTTTGAGTAGATTGGAGTGTTGTAATGATAAATATTTACCTGTTTGAAAGTGGCAGCAAATTTCATGTTGAACACCATAGTTAGTTGTGTGTTAGCAACTACCTAGAATTAGTTTTCTTGGAATATAAGAAGTATAAACAGTGAAGAACTTGAGTTGAAACTTTAATTCTAGGTTTCAGTTACTTAGGTCTCTCCGTGTTGCAAACAAGTTTAACGAGTCTGTTACTTTCACAAGTTTCTTTTATTGAGTACAAACCACTTATTGTTATACTTCAAAACCCCTTCTAAATACACCTTCTGTCTCTGTGTGCCATTTGTTTCCAGGATGTCCTGAACAATAATTATTGAGAAATATGAAGGAAAGGCTTGGTCTTCATTGTGGAATTCCTGCATTTGCTAATGTGTCCTGTTGAATCACCTGTGTGTTTTGGTCAAATGTACTTTTGTAAATCGCAGACTATTGTTGATTGTTATCTGGAAAGCTGATGAAATATAGCTAACATTATCTTAAATGTCACCTTTAAGGAAAGTCATTTTTTGGAAGTCATATTTTCCATACAGAACCTTAAAATAAATCTTATCTAGTCTCAAATTACAACTGCTGAGGAAATAGGTTTTTTTTCCTGGTTTTGGTGAAGGCTTCTATCTATTGGTTCACAGCTCATGCTAAAATCTCAACCAATCCTCTAGCCTCAGGCAGTGCAGACAAGCCAGAGTGTTTTGCTATGGCAGGAATAGAAGAGTCAAGGTCATCTGCTGGAATATCCTCCCTTTCCTCTCTTCTGAGCACTACAGAATGATAACTTTGACACAAGAAGTTCTCACAGTCTAAGTCCTTGACACTGTTCTTCTCACAGTGGGAAAGCCAGTGTGCACTGTCAGTAAATTAGATTCAGGAGTACAGCCATAGAGGGTTGTGCATGAATATTTAGAAGTACAGCTCTTCCTAGTGAACCAAGAGAGCATTCATTCGTGTGTTAAGTAATTCTGCAGCTCAGCTGTTGTTTACAGTTGGGTAGCTATGTATAACTAGTACAGCCAGATCAGTCTTAGGGAGTAACACATACTTAAAACAAATGTATGCCATTAGGTTAGAGTAATATTCTTCCTTCAACCCTTTAACTTACCTTCTTCATTGGTAAAAATGCTCTGTGGTCAAACTGTTGAATGTTCACAGTGCAAAGGTTTGGCCTGTATTCTAAATGCAAAGAGACTGTTGTGTTTGACTGCTCCTCTCTCAACATGTGGTTTTATGATCTCTATTTGTGTGTTGATTTATAGGTTTCTTTATTCAGATGAAGTTCAAATTGGTCCAGAAACAGTCATGACTACTTTATACACTGCCAAAAAGTATGCAGTCCCAGCCCTGGAAGCACATTGTGTGGATTTTCTAACAAAGCATCTCCGAGCAGATAATGCCTTTATGCTGCTTACTCAAGTAGGTAAATTTAAGCTTAGTTTTGGTTTACTAGGAAAATTAGTATTTGGAGGGAAATGAGTACTTCTCCTTAACTATGGAATCCTTTGAGAAATTAAGTGCTAATCTAAGGACTAAACACAAAGAGTACCAATTTTAATGTAGGCCTATACCAGGGTAAAAATATTTGCTTTTTGATTAGCAGTTTATCAGCTTTATGCTTAAGATGTCTTTCTTTACATTTTCAGGCTCGTTTGTTTGATGAACCTCAGCTTGCTAGTCTTTGTCTCGACACAATAGACAAAAGTACCATGGATGCCATAAGTGCAGAAGGCTTTACTGATATCGATATAGGTAAGGCACTTTGCATGTCCTGAGCATGAAGCTTCTAAAGGGAATTGTAGGGCATGAGAAGATTTTGTTACAGTACCCTAGGATAGTTCCCTCTCCCATCTGAGCATGCAGAGTCCCAAGCATGAAAAACATTGACATAAGAGGCTCTCAGATATTAGATATGGCAACGCCCCTGTGTTATTTGCACTATTAGTACTATTTATTTATAATACATAAACTGCTGCTTTCTGTGTTTCATCTTCTATGAAAAGCTAGCAGTTGTAAACTGGCTTACTTAATTTCATAGCTGCTGTAGGTGTCTAGCTCCAATTCGGCTAGATTATGGGGAAAATTCAGACTGAAGTAAGGTGTTCCAGCTGCGTGAAGAGATTGTAAAGTCATTGTTAACTCAGGTTCAGTTTGATTTGTATCCAGACTGTGAGTGTTTATCTCTACTCTTCCTAAGTCTCAATGTATTATGACTTTCCAGTATTATATTTTCTATGACTGCAAACATGCCTTGCTTAAATCCAGGGCAGATAAAAGTTCCCAAAGGCAGAAGATTCAGATTATGAAACCACTTTTTTTTTTTTTCAGACTTGTGTTCTATGAGAATTTGTGCATGCCTATTATTCATAAAAGGCCAGAATGAGCAAGAAATACAGGGGAAGTTGCTTTTGTAAAACACAGGAGAGTATCTTGCCTCAGATCCTGTGTTTCACCTTCAAGCTTTGTGGGTGGCAAATACGTCAATGCTTAAGATCACTTTCATGTATCTTTAAACTGGTTTTGTGTGCACCACTGCTGCTTGTGGCTGTAGCTGATCTAGATGGGCAGGTGACTGCCCAGATGAGAATATGACAGTGTCATCATGAATAACTTGGCTTTTTAGTAGTGTGCATTCACTGCTTGGTCACTTCCGGTTTTGATCTTGCCCTAGCGATGGAAATTCTTCAAGACACTGGTTATCACTACCTAGATTATATATAGTTACACTCCTAGGAATTGAGAAGAAAGTTCATATGCTGTCTTTATAGCAGGAAAATTAATTTTTAGTTTGAAGTCTATATGTCATTGAGACATTTCTTTTTCAATAAGATAAATGATGTATAATACTTATATATGCATAATGTATAATAGTAAGAGAAAATGTAATTGTCGTTGTCATATAATGAATGTTCTCAGTGTTTGCTTAATATTTTAAGCTTCCTTAGTGTGTAGCACTGTTACTGGATTGGATGAAAACTGATCTAAATCTGCCATCTTTTCTTCTTTAGACACATTATGTGCAGTTCTAGAAAGGGATACCCTGAGCATTCGGGAAAGCAGGCTCTTTGGAGCTGTTGTTCGCTGGGCAGAAGCAGAATGTCAAAGACAACAGCTGCCTGTGACATTTGGGAACAAACAAAAAGTCCTGGGAAGAGCTCTTTCCTTAATCCGTTTTCCATTAATGACCATTGAAGAGTTTGCAGCAGGTGAGTTTTGGGGTTCTTTTTTTTACTGTTTGACCATATCTCTGTGCTGTTCACCTGTGGGTGTTTAGATGCTTAACACTCAATTCTGTTATTAATACCACTCTTAATAAGAGTTGTGATGCACAAATGAAAGCAAAACTTTCTGCAGAGTACACTTTGGCCATTGGATAGTATTGTCATCTTCAATTTGTGAATATGTGTGGTTTAAATGCAACATTTGGAGTAATCCTTCAAATCATCTTAGGAGTTTTTTGTTTTCACAGGCCCTGCTCAGTCTGGAATCTTGTCAGATCGGGAAGTAGTCAATCTCTTTTTGCATTTTACTGTCAATCCTAAACCTAAAGTAGATTATATTGACCGACCAAGATGTTGCCTTAGAGGAAAAGAATGCAGCATCAACAGGTTCCAGCAAGTGGAGAGTCGCTGGGGCTACAGTGGAACAAGCGATCGGATTAGGTATGACTTCTGAAACTATTGGAAGGAGAGACAGAGAAGTGTGGGAAGAAAGGGAACAAATCCCTCAACTTTGACTTTGTGGTATAAGATACAGTAGCAAACATGCTGGTTCTGTTGCACAAGTTTGATCTTTTCCTTGTATTAAAATGCCAAGTTATTGCACACATTAAATACCAAGTAGCAAAGAATAAGGTTCAGGAGGACTGGGTGCATTCTAGAATGATTGGGTGCTATCTGTATATTCCTTCTTGAAATACCAAGTCTTGATCTGTTTTTATTCTGGAGATACTGAAAAGCATCTGGTTATGTTTTGTTCAGTGATACTGAGTATCTTGGGGGATTAGCAAAGCTTTAACCTATAAAGCAGAGAAGACATTTTTCTTAGTATTGAAATCTAAATAAAAACTTAATGGAAAAAAAAAAGCAATACCAATTTCAGTTTACTTCCCTACTGTTCAGTGGGAGTCTTCTGCTTGACTGGGAATAAGGTAACACACCCACCACAGTTTAAATTTCTTTCTTGGCTTGTGCCTTACTAGGTTCACAGTTAACAGAAGGATTTCCATAGTGGGATTTGGATTATATGGATCTATTCATGGACCCACAGACTATCAAGTTAATATACAGGTACAGTATATTATGTCTAAACAGGCTTGTACAGGAACTACACTTGTAGCCCTTGCAAAAGGTTTGATCTATATTTGGGTGGAAGCAATTGATAGTCCAGGAATCTAAGCTGTGTTTTCTCCCCAGCAGTGGGCATAAGAGGATGACTAGGCAAAAACAAGAACAGTATGAAACTCTTCTCCATTTCTGCTGTATTCTCCTGTCCTTCAATCATTTTCAGGATAGATGTTTCCCAACACACAGCTTTGTTCCACTTCTTAAGCCTTTCTTAATAGGAGATATGTACTGGTACTATACTTGGGCATGTGATGCCCTTCAGTAGTCTGCATGCTTCTTACAAGGATTTGATTTTCCTAATTGCTCCTTTTAGTTTCCTTTGAACAAGCTTCCTCAGTTTTCTCTTTTGGAAATTAAGCACAGCTGTGGAGGATTTGCTTTTGTTGTTCACGTGGGAGTGTTGACTCTAAGTATATCATGGACACTGTTACATAGTGTTTCTATTATGAAATTTTGAATCTGATCCTGCTCATCACTCAGTACCAAATCAAGGGTTGCGTTTCTTCCCACTGAGCAATTGGTTAGCAAGCTCATGAAATGGCCAGTGATAGCAGCTAAAAATGTCACCCCTGCTTTGTGTCCTGAGGTGACCCTTGCCTGGTCCAAGTGGGTAATTGAAGACACTACTAAAATTGTATTTCCTGCTCTTGCAGCCTGTTTCATCTCTTTTAGCATGTTGTGCTCAGGATTGTCTTCTAGTCGCATTGATCCACCACTATATTTTTTTTCCTTTTCAAGTGTGGAATTTTAGTCCATTTCAATTCTTTTTCTTATTGAGATGAGTTTTGATTTGATTCTAAGCTTTCTAACAAGGTATCAGCATTCCATGCGTGGCACAGTTTTACCCTGTGCTGTGTATTTCATAGCCTGGTACTAATCACGTCACACTGATTTATTAGGTGTGTGGGAAATTTTGTGAAAGAAATGATCTGTGACTTCATTTAGGAGCAGAATTTCTATTGTCCCTATCTTATTTCATAGACTTCTAGCATGTGCTGGAACTGCTGTTACAGTTATTTCTAGGCATTCTGTTTAAATGACAGTTTGTCTTCTGTTTCGTATTTGATGATTATTATCTGCTTTTTCTGTACTTAAGGACAGGGATTTTGTGGCTGTTTCTTAGAAACAAAAAATGTTTTGCCTTTTCTCTTATGATGTTCCAAACAGAATGTATTTGGAATGAGGTTTTGAAGGAATTTGGCTTTTCCACATTCTTCAGTTTAAAAGCTGACTTGCAAATTCCCTGCTTTGAAGTACCTTCAGTTTGGTTTTCTCAAACTATACGTCCATGTACTTGAGTAGCATAGTGCCACTGCATTGGATCCTCACAACAAAAGAGTTGGTCCTGAGGACCCAACAGCTGTACTATACATATCTGGGTATTTTTACTTCACAGTCACTCTTTTTTGAACCTCTCAGCTGAATTCCTGTTTGCACATTCAAGCATTTGGTGTATTCCCTCAGGATGTTTGCTGGATTTGTTTAATCTGAAAAGAATTTAGTTTTTTCAAGGCAAACCAATGCATATTAAGTGGGAATGATAAGATTCACTTGAAAAAGATCCTCCTGATCCAAACAGAAAGGCTAAATATACCTTTATGGTTCAGATTAAAGCCATCCATCTTAGATAGATTCTCTTTATTCTGGAAGTATCCCTAGTAACTGATGAATCTGAAACTTTCTTGTCACTGTCTTTTCAGACAGTTATATGTAAGTCCTGTGCCTCTATCTTTCTTCTTGGATCTGGAGCTAGAGCTTCATAGAGTTAAACATTTAAAACTTGTCTTAAAGTAGTGATAATATATATTGCAAATACATCTTTTATGTGAAAAGGGCCTAGGACTTCAGTATTAAAATCATTATTATTTCGATTGATTGTGGGTGTAAAAAATAATTGGAGCACATTTTGCCTAGAATAGAGCTTCGTATCATTTGTGCAATGCTTAAAATTATATGGCAGTTTAATAGTAAAATATTAAAACTGATAGCATTCTGGTTAGTGCAGTAATCATGAGGAGTGTTTGTGTTACTCTAGAGCTCTGATATCCAACTTCTGCAAGAGGTATCGGGCAGCACAGATCAGGATTGCAGTCTAAAATGAGAAGTGAGGTATCTGCTATTACTGCATCGTGACTAGTGATTCCTATTTGCCACTAAAATTGAAGACACAATAAATATTATGGAGTCTGAGTGTCATTTTTATGTCAAATCTAGATTAGAAATAAATTGCATAAAACACAGCAGCACAAGTTCTTGTTTTGTGTTATGAATTTGTCATTGACTGCTTACATTATCTGTAAAATCTTGTTTTCTAAATTAGCCACAGCCAGTGAAGGAGCTTCCCTCATGCAGGCTGTGTAGGTGTGCAAAGATCAGCAAATCTAAGTGCAGGGTTATATGGCATATATGAAGGTCAGAAGCTGAAGGTCTAAGAGTTACTCTTCATCTCCCAAGCAGAGACTGTAGCCTGGCTGGAGCAGTGCTGAATCTGGCCCACAGGTTGGATAGCCTGTGTAGGACTCTCAGGGCATTGCTCAGTGAGCTGCTGTGTCAGCACCAATGGTATCAGGAAATCACACCTACTCTCCAGTTGAGATTGCACTATCCTTGCAATTACACTGGGTGGAGTGGGCAAGTGTTGGCTTGTAAGCTTCTCATATGCATACAATAAGAATTTTTCTCATGGTTATAAACCTAAAAATATTATTTTCTTGGTTTTGTACAGATAATTGATTACGAGAAGAACCAGACACTAGGACAAAACGACACTGGATTCAGCTGTGATGGAACAGCAAGTACCTTCAGAGTTATGTTCAAAGAGCCCATAGAGATCTTGCCAACGGTTTGCTACACAGCTTGTGCAACGTTGAAAGTAAGAATGTCTAACAGTACAGAAGAAAGTGTTACTTTGATGCCAGAGTTGTTCTTTTATGGGTCCTCTGATGGGACAGTGTCTTCCAGATCTTGGATTTATTTTAAGTTTAGGGCTAAAGAAGGATGTAGTTAAATTCCACAGTAACTTGTAAGACTGCTACCTCTCTTCTGTGCCACAGCATGGAATTCATAACCAGATCCTTTGTGCCTTCCCACTTTCTGGCTTGATGTAGGAGTTAGAGTGAGTCCTAATGGAAGTCACTGGTTCTGTGTGGGCAAAAGCATTATCTAGAACATTTAATCTGTCAGTTCTATCAAAATTTAAGTTTGATTCTTTTATAAAGGATATTTTCACCACAAGCTAGAGTCAAGAATACTGAAAGCTTTTTTTTCATCATGTTTCATGTATTAGTGCTAAAATACAGGAAAGGATTACTTGTTCTGGGAAAGTCTCCCCTTAATGCTGTGGACAAATTAGTTTCTCAAAATTTTTTTAATCTTGTCATTCCCTATACAGAAATCAAAGGTGAGTGGGTTGGAAAAAAATTTTGCGCATTCAAAGAAAGTGAAGAAGGGAACTAAGAATATAGACAATCAGTGTGATAAGGACAAATACTGGAAAGTATTCATTACTAGTTGGATAAAATCAACTGGTTTAAGTGTGCTGTCAGAAAAATTTTGTTATTTAGACATGGGGCACTTGCTTCTGTTGTCTGTGATTTTGTATATAATTTATATGATGTGGGTATAGAAATTTTATACTGCTAAAATAACCTAAATCAGTAGTGTTTGAACTTTAGCTATGTATGAGGTCTTGCCCATTTCCATTCAGTTACTAATGTCTTGTGACATCTTTCAGGGTCCTGATTCCCATTATGGAACAAAAGGTTTGAAGAAAGTGATCCACGAATCTCCTACTGCTAGCAAAACATGCTTTGTCTTCTATAGTTCACCGGGTAACAACAATGGGACATCAATAGAAGATGGACAGATACCAGAAATAATATTTTATACTTAATTTCACACGATGCTCTAGAGTGTGTCGGTATCTCAGTGGACTTCAGCTCACTATTGGCAGCAGTTAAAAAATTCTGTGAAATTATGTCAATGTGTGAAAACAAAACTAAATTGTTTGAGCGGTACCAGAAAAGCTATTTTTTTTGTGCATTGTTATTGGCAGAACATAATTTAACTTGACAAAATGTCAAGTGGAATAATTACTCTGTATATTGAAAAATTTGTTTTAAATAGTTATCTTGTGATTCATTGGTTTGTGTTTCACCCTTCCATTTCTCACATAGTAAAATTCATTTTTTGAACTGGAAAATCCTTACTTGTTAAAAACAACTTGTGTATGTTTTCCCCAACCTGTCCTAAAAAGACAGTAAAGTTGCTGCTGTAGTCCCATTTTGCACTTCTTTCCAAAATGACTTTGGACATGGACTGCTACTGTATTTTTTAAGTACATCAAGCAAAGCTGGATTGATATTGCCATCACCTCAATTCTTTGGATGAGCCATGGAGAATTAATGGACTTAGCACTGCAGAGAGCATCTGCATCTGCACTGAAGAAAAACTAAGTCAAACTCAGCAACAAACAGATCTTTCCAGAATCTTTCTTAATTCAGAAGGGCTGTTTTGGAATATAGAACTGGTTATGGAAATAGCCACTGTATATATACATATGTGCCTATAAAAATGTATAATGTGAAAATGAGAATACAAGAGTTGTATTGATGTTATTTTATCATTGGATATTCTAGTACTAAAAAAATTAGTATAAACCTGAGGCTTATCTGTGTGCAACTAATTTTACAGATTGCATACAGTAATTTAATGCAATTAATGGATGTCTATAGTATTCGGTGTCTTGCAGTCTGTACTGTGGAGGAATAGAATGGCTTCATAGTATCATAGAACACTAAGGGGTTGGAATGGATGTTATAAATGATCTAGTCCCAACTCCCTGTCCTGGGACATGTCCCATCCCACCAGAGCAGGTTGCTCAAGGCTTTATCCAGCCTGGAATGAACACTGCCAGGGTTGGGGCAGCCACAGCCACATCACACACCCTGCCCCGAGCCACAGTCCCAATCCTGGATGAAGATACAGCACTTTGGAAAACCTTTTCTGCCGTTTGCCTGTTACACACCATACACACTAGTTCAGCCTGTTCACATGACACAAGCATTAAGGGAGACATGACACACGGACAAAGTCCTTCCCCGAGTTATACTGAGGTAATAACTTGACAATACGGGAGAAAAGAAGAAAAATTCCTGGGTTTCTCTCTTCAGCGGCGGTGGCACAAGCCGCGTGTCGGGCCCAGCTCCGTGCGGGCTGTCAGCTCTGCCCGGCGGTGCCGGGAGGGACCGGGGCTCGGTGCGGGGAG